GAAAAGGAGGACGATAAATACAACAGGGGTAGAGAAGAAGGGGGATCTCGTTCGTCGAATGAACGTCGCGAATTCCTGGCATTTGCAAACGCATTGCGATTAAATACTTCATCTACATATAAAAAATAATCAGAACAACGTATCTTACATTCGAAGGCATTTCTAAATCGCTTTTTTCTTCTTTTTCGTCTTCTCCTCTACCTTCATCGTTACTTGAATACCGGTACTCTACGGATACAGGTATATTACACGTTAATAGTATGTGTGTACGCACGGTTACTCATCGCTAAAACTCACCCTAACGATCTAACGATCCTTAAAAGTATTATCAATAATTACAGAGGATAAGAGACACGGATGCTTTCGATTCACTCGACTCGATCGATCAGAATTTTTATTATTCGAATCTTTTGTATTCTCCTATACGCTACTACATTAATCATACATTTCCAATATACGTTTGAAAGGTAGGGAATTCCACTTGGCTGTCGGATGTTTACGAATGAAAAACTTCTCAAAGGTTCGTTAAAAACTGTAACTAGATTCATTGGTTTCGTTGAGAATGTTCAATGGACTACCATGTGTAATCAGAATAATGAAAATAGTATGTGTTTAGGCTGGTGGTCGAAAAAAATTAAGTAAAACAAAATAGGTTTAACAACAAATGGTTTCCGAACACCAGATTCTGTATTTCCCTTCATGATCTGTAGATAAATAAAGAGACAATATCAACGTATGTATTTATCATCGTCACGCCGCGATCACTGTCTCGTAACGATAGAATCGTTAAATTTATTCTCAGCTTTTCAGGTACCTCGGCCAATAAGTAAACATCTGTCAGAAAATAATCATCGATTTTACGAAGTCTGTTACTTATGATTTAGTAAAATATATATATATATATATGTATTTATATCGATTCTATACTTTCCCTTTGACCACCATCGGTATACTGACAATCATTTGACGACAGAAGAGTCCCCCTATTGATCACAGAAAAGAGCTTTCAACGATATATAAAATGTTCAAGAAAGGAATAGATACACCGGTATCGTCTAATATAAATGATTTCTCGGGAATATTTACACCAGTTAATCGGATCGAGTGATCGACGAGATCGAAGCCGCGTGTGTCTAGCCAACAGAAAGACTTACCTCTCGTAGTCGTCTACAGGTATACATTACATACGTACACCGTCGTGACCCGGTGACGTTTCAGAGTGTAGTTCTCTCTCGTGCCGCCTGCAGGACGAACGTTCAGAAGGAGTACTATACATATGCATATACACGTTACACGATATACAATAACTCGAGGAGTAAAATTAGAGTAATTCTAGCATAACAGTACAATAATAGCGACGATAGACCGTCATTTTAAGAGCTAATTGGTGTTCGTACGTTGATCCCCATTTTCATTTTGGTACCGAGTAAGATTATTCTCTTTCTCCGTTTTTGTTATGTTTTCTCTGTTTTCCTCCTAATTTTTCTATTCTGTCTCTCCCTCCTTCGCTCTACTTTCCTGCGCTGATTTCGTTTTATCCCGTCCTCATCAATTTTAAACGATTAACGCCCTAAACGAGTCGCCTGTAGCTACGAGATGAACACGGGCCGCTTGGTGTCTTGAATCTGTCGCCTCGGAAGATAAATACGTAGCCGATGGATCAGCGCGGAGCGAATACGGTCGGACAATTGAATTCTGGATCGGATTGGTTTGGACATAAACGATTTTCTTACAAAATATACACAGTCTCCTTACTTTGTTCGTTTATCATCGTTGGATGGTGTTTCGAAGAAGCAAATTTGTAATGGAAGAAGAATCGTTAGAGCCGAATTTCAGTTTCACAGGCTTGCAGCTCAACAAACTAATATAAATATATACGAGGTGCACTGACGAAACGTTATCAACTTAGATTATTCTACTGTCATAAATAGGATTACTTCTGTAATGTAACTAGTTATAAGATTATTGTAAATCATAAATAGAACTAAGCAGTCGTTTCTTAACCGTTGATGGATACTATTTCCAACATTGTTATAATTAAGGTAAATCATATTTTCTGAATCTTCATCCGACTCTTGTGTCAATTTCACACATTTTACTCCTAAGAAATGATGTTATTGTGGCATGTGTAGGTAAATTCAGCCGAGGCTACAGAATTCGTCTCAGTATCCGTCTCGGTAATAAATTGTTTCTCCAGAAGTGAATCGTCAAGACCTTGCGGATCGCCGCTTTGGCAACCGAAAATTTCCACGTCGTTCGTTTGGCCGATTGGCACAATTCCGTGTTGAGCTGAGGCTATCTTTCGCGAACGTCACGTCGATTGTTCCTCCCGGCGTTATTTATAACGACGGGGGTTGGAGAAAACGTGTCGATTAAATCTAAAACGATCGCGAAGATAAGGCGTGATCGATCGAACCGCGCTGATCCTCGTAAATCTTCGGGCTGATCGTGTCCGATGATTACGCTGACGCCCGAAGATTCTCGTCGCTTTTGGGATCTGTTTCCATTATTTAGCGATTTGTCGTTAGTTTTTTTCTTTTCGTTTGTGTACGGGGTGTCCCGAATGAATTTGTACAACCGAGAAACGTTAAAGATAGATCACTGCGCGAAAAGAAACTCGGAAAATATAGAATATACATGTAAGTTTTATTTAAAGAGATTCGTTTCCTTTTCAAAAAGTTTATTTTGATATTATTACGGCTAACGAGAACGTTGCAAATAGAATTTATTTAAAGAGAACGATATATGTCTTCGAAGACGAAAATTCTTTGTACAATAGGTAAAATGAGTTTTTAACACTTGAACGATTTCCTTTTTCAAAAACTTTAAATTTTTATATGTATATTATAATAGAGAAATGTTTATTCAGAGCCAGAGTGAATTTCTTAATATAGACTCTAGATTTCTCTCCACTTCTATGCGAAATGTTGCTCTGATACCCAGGAAAGTAGTATTTCCATATAGAAATTATTAGTTTCATATTGTTCATTTAAAAAGCGACGAACATCTATAATAGTGAAATTCATCAAGTAATTGTCCGATGTTGACATTTTTTTAAGAATTGGAATTCACAATAAGAAATTTGTATTTTGCCCCTATTCTACATTATAATAAAATCAGCAGATTGAAAGTTGTACCATTATTCGCGGGACACCCTGTATACATAACGTACGTGTACAATGTCGAAGCAGTGTCGATGAAGTATCGACGAATTCTCGCGGACAAGAAAAACAGTATCGTGAAGAAAACTTCTGCACCTTACAGACAATAAATATATCAGTATTAACGTACGTAGATGCAATGCGCGACACTTATAGAAAAAGATATGTATCCGACGCGACGAGATATATTCTAGAACAAGCGGGTTAAATTCAAGGTGGGTACGGAGAAAAAGTAGAAATGTACTTGGATACCAGCAGAGTCGGATAGAAGTTCAACGAATAATTATTTATAGTAATACGATCAATCGCCTTGTACGTGAACGATGAAAATTTTCGTTTCGAACAGCTCTTGGAGCCACCACGATTATTATTCGAACGAAAATTCTGGAATAGGACAACGTTACTAATTAGTGGAACGACCTTTCCCCGGTTTAGTGTCATGGTAATATTCTTCTCTCTCTCTCTCTCATTCGTTTCATTCTCTGTCCACAAGACAAATATCACGGCAATCGATTTCCCCCGGTTTAGTGCTCCTCAGCGTTCCCCCACAGGTCCAATTTCGTTGCACTAACCCTAACCTCCTCGAAACGCATTAATCTCCTCCACAAGAACGAACAATACGCGAAAAAACGATGCTCGACCAATAACCCCTAATAATTACAGACGATTCAATAATAATAATAACTGGAATAAAAGGTAAAATTCTGTCCAACTCTCTGAACACTACCAACGAATTTCCATAAAACCGTGCGGTAAGTTAACGCGTATCACCGTAGCACACGAGCGGAGGCAAATGTAAAAAATCGCTACTAAATGTAATCGATAAAAGCCACACACACTCTCTTCCTCTCTCACACTCTCTCACTGTCGCTAGTCACCTAGAAATGGAACGTAGAAAAATATAAAATAAAAATTATACAAACGAACAACACGTGAATCCGTTAAGTTCATCAACGATTCAAAACTGATTCATCTCCCACTCTAATCCTAATTTCTCACTAAATTCAAGGTTAGGTTTCGCCTCCGTACCCCAACACGCAGCGCGCGCGAAGATACAATAGTGTAGTACGAGCAAGATCGCGAATGAGCAAAAATCTCTCTTACCTGTAACATCTTCTCTCCTTTTTTTTTTCAATATCTATCCGAATATCGTTTCACCGTATGCTACGTTTTTTTTTTTCGTTTTTGTTTTTCTTTCAAAGAACGAAACGAGCCCGCCGCGTTTTGTCCTTCGTGAGACGAGGGCTCCGCCGCCGTCGCCGCCGCGGCCGCAACAGGAAACGTTGTTTTAACCTCTCTTTCTCTCTCTGTCGTGTACACACGATGGGCTCATGTACCCTTACGAGCAAACTCAGCTTCCGCTAGGTGAAAAAATAGGCGAAGGGCCTCCTACCATTTAGTTTTGGGAGATACTGAAATTTATGCCAAATTAATATTCGGTTTAACATTCATTTCCGAACTTGTCATAAATTTATTAAGTGGTAGGAGACTTTTCTTCTGCGCCACATTTTCACCTAGCGGAAGCCGGCTTCCGTTAGGGTAAAATGTGGCGTAGGGGAAGAGGCTTGTACCATGTTCTTACCACTTGGTATTGGGAATTACTGAAATGTCTGCCAAATTAACATTCGATTTAACATTTATTGCAGTACTCGAAATAAATTTACTAAGCGGTAGGAGACTTTCCATCTACGCCACTTTTTCCCCTAACGGAAGCCGAGTTTGTTCGCGATGGTACGTGTTATAGACTCGTGCGATCGAATCGCGAAATGGATATCTTCTGTGCGATACGTACCTGTACCGCATAATTATCATCTATACAATGTGTGTTTGTATGTGTGTGTATGTGTGTTTATGTGTGTCGTTAATGGACGCTCGACGGAAAGTGATTTCGAGGCTCTTCGACGAGAACAGGATATTCTGGAGAGCACCGGGACAAACCAAAAACCGTGTCCCCACTGTAAATTGTTGTTTTGTCACACGCTTCTCCCTGCGAGAACTTACGCCTGTGAGGGGGATCGCATGATACCACGGCTGGGCGGTTGATCGACGAGCGTCGGATCTAGGACTTCGCTCGGATTCCATCGGAGCCAGTGGATTCAACCGGGAGGTTCGCTCAGGCCCTGCCAATTACGGCCGGAGGTCAAAGGGCGTTCTCCATTTCTTCCGTTGTCAGCTGGAACTGCTCTTGACCTATATCACCGAACAACGTCGATTTAACGATCCGACCGAAAAGGTGAACAGTGGCGAACGGGAGTTTTAATCTCGCGGATATCACGAGCGACGTGACTCTCGATTTTACAATTGAAATATCCTCCGTTCAGGATTAGACGTTGGAGCAAATGAAGTTTGGTATGGTTTGTCGAATATCTTTTCGTTTCAGAAATTTGGTTTTATGTAGGTATAAATAATCGGAAGTAGTGGACGAAAGCTTGAGCTCGTGAAACTTCGGATTAGTCTTGATAGTTTCGACAGACTAGGATGACTGATATTTATGAATAGTAGTGCATGTTACGTTTGGTATAATTGTTTCCATGTACTGTTTGGCGAAAATTAAAAAGGTTTCCATCCCTTGGACATTTTCGTGGATTTGATTTTTCAAACCAATATGTTTTGATAATTGTTGAATTAATGGAGAATTTAATTGGACTTAAAAGCAACGAAATTTAGACCTCCTGTATGAACTAAAAAAAAATCAAATCTACCTGTATAAATATTTCAGGGCCATCCCTACCTTTTAGAAAGCTGATAGCAAACAAATTGAACGAGTTCAATCAAACTTTCATATCACGTTTTAGCCAACAAAATGTTTCGGTTCTACTTCAGCATACCAAAATTAATCTACAAATATTTACAATCTAATAATAATATATTCAAGAATATGGAGGATCTATATATGACCTGCTCTGCATTATGCAATGGCCGTGTGCACAAATTTTCTTTAAAATTAATATTTTCCAAGGCACGATACCCTACACGCAAGGTTCCCGACAGCGAACCCAGGATCATTTTCTCTTTAATAACCGCGGCTCAAAGAAAACGACGAAAACACTCACTGTATAAATATGCTGCGAGATCACGGTCCTCTGCTTGCAGAGCAAGATCACGGGCCGTGTTGCCGTGTCGATCCTTGACGGTTAAAGTAGCACCGCCCGCCACTAACATGCAGCAAATGGAACGACGCTTATATTGAGCCGCTTTGTGCAGAGCAGTCTGACCTCTGGAATTCGAAAAAAAAAGAGAGGGGTCTCCTTTTTATTTTATTCCTGTTTACGCGCCGTAAATAGCCTGGCCCCCTGACCCACATTTACACTTCACGTTGTAAATAAACTCTGATATTACAAAATGCGCACAAAAAAAAATAAATTTTTCAGCGAAAAAGGAGGCGCGAATGTATAATCGAATTGAAATTGAATTATTCGAGGTCACCGAAGTTTTATCCCCACCACCACCAGTGGAACTTCCTAAACTGAGTATACAAGGTGTCCCACCTAATGTGAGCACCTTTAGTATCTCACTTTTTCACAAAAGTGTCGCTGTCATATAATGTCATAATTGTTGATTCCCACAACTTACTTGTCGTTGTCGACCATGTTGAGAATGCTCGATGGCGCGCAAGCGATCAGGTATCTGACGATATCCTTGTGACCGTGTCTCGAGGACAAATGCAGAGCGGTTTGCCCAGTGGCGTCGATGGACAGTAGGGAGTAACCTTTATCGTGGAGCTCCTTCAAAGCCCTGAGATCACCGATTTTCGCGGCTTTCAGTATACCGTCGCTGGTTTTCTCCAGTAATCCCGTGCTAAACGTGTGAACCTCTGAACTTAGACCGAAAAGCCTATCTCGCGGACTGGAACATATAAATCACTTTATTGCTTCACACGTTCTATCATTCTGGACACAGTATTCACTCCCACTAATCGCATCGTTTTGGGATTAGCAAACATGTTTAATTGGATGTCCACTTGCTTTTAGCTCCTCTTTCTCAATTTGTTCCATCATTTACCCTCTTTCATCGTCATTGTAAAAATAAGATTATCCACAATGCTGGGAGAGGATCGGGGAACGCGGGAAAGTTAACAGAAAGAGAACGATGCACATGATTTTCCACAGTCAGACCGAGCACAGTAAGGGATGCGATAGGCTAAGAACGAGAGGAATGTCGAAAAACTGATACCTAATGAAAGTGAGTGATGCCTGGTGTTGCGACTGAGCGACAGCCGTCGCAGAGATCGATTTCGAGGAACTGCTTTGCCTGATAGGGTCGCCAGATACTCTCTCCTCTTTCCTCGCGTTTTTCGGCTCGCTCGGAACGGTTTTGCTCAACGAACCCTGAGATTCAGAGCGGTCGTTCTGGGTTTCTTCGGGCTGCGGCTTCGTTTCGACCGGCTTCGGTGGCGCTTCGATCTCCGGCTGCGCCTTTTGTTCTTCAACGACCGGCGCTTCTGTCATGGCTGCGTTTGTCTTTGGTCGTTCTTCGCTATATTACACGTTCTTTCTATTAATCTAATGATACGATTCCATTACCATTACATTATCATGGACACACAGACAAATGTGTGAAGTGGAGGGATTGAACAGTTCGGGGGAGGGCAAGGTATAGTATTGCTGTACGCTATCGTTGATCAGCATTTGCCTGTCCATATTACTATTCACTTTACTACAAAATCTGTCACATATTCTTCAGAAGAACTAGTTTTCATCGTAATGATAAAAATAGATAACACATGGTATCTGATTGAAAATTGCCAAAGTGAAATGCAGAATAAAACGACGTACAGTAAACTCTCGATAAGTGCCCGAGGGCTTCTCAGCACTGCCAAGGAGAAGTGACCAGATGTAACACTGACTTTTTAATGAGCTTTAGCACAGTGATAGAGATTCGAATTCTGATGTCAATGATATTTGTTTCAGTCGCACATGGTCATTAGTTCATGAAATATTTAATCTTCAGTTCCGAGGAGTCTTCGAAGGAAGGATTTACTGTAAATCTTTCTTCGATCGGACAAGAAATACTCATGGAACGATAGGGTATCTCTACTACACGTATAATAACATTGTTTCTAATAGATATGGAAACACTCTAAAACGAAACACGATACGTGTACTCGGATACTGGATTAGAATATACTGAGGACCATCACGATGAGACTACGTGTCGACGAATGAAGAACGAATTCTCAGACATGACATGTAGAGGTAGTGTACCTGGGCGAAGGATGAGCTGTCTCGGGCTCTTGGTTCGCGGAGACCTTCGCCGGCTCCGGTTCACCCGATGATTGATTGGTCGCACTTTCCTCGAGCACGTACACCGCATCGACAGCCACGTCCGTGACGTAATGCAGCTGCTCTTGAGCTCGGTCGATCCTGAAGAATCGCTCCGCGGTACACGCTGAAACGAGATTTCGGTTGCACCCATCACGATTAAATTTTATATCAGGAGCATCTATCACGTCACGTCGTCTTTGGTTCGAGAGGTTAAAAAATTGTTCATTTGGAATGAGATAATCTGGAAAATTGAAAATGAACAAAACGTAACGGTAACGAAGCTTCGACAAAGTTCTTGATTGGTTAATAAAATTTCACTTTCCTTCTGGCTTTCGTGGAATGTTTCATGGAAATGGGAATTTCGTAGGAACTTACTTTTAAGCTAAAAAACATTCAGAACATGAAAAAGCTCAAATTTATAAGAAAAATATGGGTCTGCAACACACTGCGTCTAAGGTTTATGTGAAATTGTAAGAAACTTCATGTAAAGAAATGTGACCACCAGGTCTGAAAGTGTTTAATTGATAATTCACGTCAAGATTTACTTCTATTTTTACTTATGCCTTATTTTCAGAATTTATTTAGTCATTTATATCCTTGCAGAATCCATACTTCAGCGAATTCAGGACTGGAACACTTTGACATAGCATTCTTGAGATGTGACACGATGAAAATATGCAATAAGAAAAATCGATTTTTCCGAAAATTTTAACCGAAGGATACACTGAAGTTTACTTATAAGAAAATCAGATAAGACTGTCCCGTCAAGACTCACAGTCGAGGAAGCAACAAGTGTCCATGTTATGATCCTTCGCGAGTATCTTCCTAAGGGATTCCAGGTCCGCGGTTGCGTCCAGATCTAGGGGATCCGCTATCCACATCGTCGCCGAGTTCTTCAGCATGTCCTTGTCGTGATGATACCTCTCATAGTCAGGCATTTTGATTTTCATCACGGGCAATTTCAATCGTTCCAGCTTCACATCCTGCTGGGGCCTGCCCGCGTTCCTTCGTTTCGCCAGCATCGTCGCTTTGTTCAACAACTGCATGGTTATGATGGATGGCAGCAGGCGACAGGCTTCTCCGTCGACCTGAAACGACGATCGTAATCGTTCGTTCTTAATGGATTCAGCCTGACAAATGGTGCTGTTAACAAAACTGGCATCACAGTGGGCAACGTGCTGAACAGCTGTGAAGGATCATCATCGGCATCGTTAATGTCAATTTACGAGCTTTTTTCTTTTTAGAGATTATAAATTGACACTGGAACCACCAAACCAGTCAAAATCACTGGTTCGTATGCTTTTATATAAATTGTTAAAATATCATAGTAGTTTCTGAGATTCTTCGTCACTTTTACTGTAATATACACGGTGAGTTAATAAGAATTACCGTCTAAAATAACTCATTATTTATTGGTTGTATCAAGAAACGTTTTAATGAATTATGTAGCGTTTTAAAGGACGCATCGGGTGGCTAAAGTTTGATTTTTTTATTCACGTTATTTCTTAATAACGTGGTCTTAAAAGAAAAATATCTAAAAAGAATAAGACATAAAAAAAACTCAAATTGTATACACATGATGTGTCCCTTAAAATGATACGTAATTCATTAAAACGTTTTCTGATACAACTAATAGGCAACGAGTCATTTTAGATAATAGATCTTATTGACTTGAAATAAAAACATGTTCATATTCGGTACAGTAAATCCTCGATTAGTGTTTGAAGGTTGTGACAGGAAGTCCCCAGGCGTTACACTGACTTTTAAATGAGGTTTAACAAAGAGATAGCGCATGGAATTTCGAAGCCAATGATATTTGTTTCAGCCACATAAGGCCTTTAGTTTACGAAACATTTACAGGAATGTCTCGATGAGTGGGACGTACTCGCGTCCACTTCGGAGCATTCACGGCAAGGCGGAAAAGTTTTCAGTTGCTCATGTCGCATTTATCGAGGAATCACTGTACTGTTCATTGCCGAGGAGCCATCGAACGCTCATAGAGGATTTACTGCAGTTCTAGTGTTAATATTCCTAATACTTGTGTTCCCCATTTTGGAGGTCGAAGAAGTAAATAAAGATGTGTATCCACCTGCATTGGAATGGTCTTTGTGGTAACCAGCTTAGCGGTGCTGCACTGTGCTATGCAAGTGCCGTGTCCGCCGGCTTGAAGAAGCGGAAGCTGATAGGTCGTCAAGCCGACCACCTCGATCAGTCCATCCTCGGTGGATGGCTCCTTGGTACCACTCGCGGCGCCCCATGGATGCGTACCACCCCCGTACGAGGCGATATTCAAGAACACTATCGCGTGCACGCGATGCTCTTTCAATTTCGGCGTGAGATCCTGGCCATCGCAGTCGAGCGTCACGTACTCCGAGAGATCCTTCCATTTCCGCAGCACGAGATCCTTGCCGCCCATCTGACCGTAATACATCTTGTTCCGTATCCGTGAGTTGAACTTCTCCGGATGTGCCTCTGTAATTGTCCATAATTCACGTTTCCCTATTGTACGGCAACACGGTCTCGTGATATGTACAGGTGTGATTCATGCTTAATTTCTCGTTGAGTTAGTTCGTGATTGCGGAAGGTAATTTAAGTGTCTGAGAACACAGTTGAATACAGTCTATTGCCACGGTAACTTAATTTGAGAAAAGCATTATTTTAAAGCTTGTGTAATTGAGGAAGAAGGTTGGAAAGAATTGCTTGTAATATGGTTTCTGACAAAGTTTCCTTTCGACCAGGAAATTTAAGCGTTCCTACCAGAACTGCAATTCTTCTAGGCTTGAAGTGTTATGAGAATATATTTAAATTTTCTTTATGTGTAACACATTCGTGCAGTTCGATTTAACCCCTTACTCTACGATTTTCTTGATGTCTGCAGACTCTATTCGTCGTTGTTGCATCGATTTTGAAATCGTTAACACGAGTCTGACTCGATGTTATAATGCAAGGGGTTAATAAAGGACACAAATATGATATTTACAAAGTGTCCCAAAATAGGTGTAAATCCTTAGATGGGGTGATTCCTGGGGTGATTTGAAACAACTTTTTCCTCAGCAAATAGGTTTTCCGAGGTTTTATTAACGAGATACCAACGAAAAACCCCGACTAATTAGAGCGGGAGTCTGCCGACTGATCCCCGGTAGTGTTGGCTAGACGCTGCGCTTGTACTACGAACAAGCAAGTCGGCATGCATCAAAGAAAACTGCGTAGAATAACAAATAAATTCTGGTTTTTCAGGGTTTTCCGATTGGTCAGGGTTTTTCGTTAATATCTCGTTAACAAAGCCTGAGAAAACATTTCTGTTAAGGAAAAAGTAGTTTCAAATCACCTCAGAAATCACTCCTTTCAAGGAATTACCAGATTTTCGGAACACCCTGTATTGTACTAATTTACAACCCACTTACGAATACATAATCATTACTGTTATTATTATTATAATAACATTTCGATCACATTTTCAATAGTTTGTTGATAGTTCCTAATGTTAAACATCATAAATTTATACGTGCGGTGTTTACAACTAATCCGAAGGAGCACCCGAGGGCCAAGTATATCAGAGATTGTTGAGAGAGTTCGGGGATAAGCAGGTCTGCGACTGACACTAACCTCGGGCCTCGTGAAATTCGAGGGCGATGTGAGCATCCACGCCAAGGGAGAAGTAATTATTGACGACGTTCAGCGGTAAATTCTCTTTGCCCTTGCCGTTGTCGTCGTCGCCCTGAGCGTCCGGATTCCTCTCGACTACCAGCTGCCATCTGTCCAAAAGTATCGTGTCGCTCTCCCCGATGTTCGTAAGGATTTTCCCGATCGGCTCGTCCGTGTAGCCGCCGCCCCATCCCAACGCTCTCGCTAGATCGTTTCCGGTACCGAGAGGAAGCACTCCGACCGCCGGCGGCGAAGGGCAACCGATCTGGTCCAGAACCGACAGCACCCAGCCGACAGTACCGTCACCGCCGCACGCGAGCACCCGGAGATTACGAACTTTCTTGAACAATTCGAGCCTGATTGAACAAACAAGCGAAGGACTAAACATACGCGGTTCCTTTCACGTGAGGAGGAAAAATAGGAAGTGCACTTTAATGGTAAAGTTTGAGACGTAAAAGTAAATTGTGAAATGTTTCTCGTTTTATACAGGGATTAGGAATTTTCGTTTTTTTCTAGTCAAACAGAGTTTAAATATTTTTCGTTCTGTGTAAGGACTGAGATTGGAAACTTTGTTGAATAGCTCGAGCCTAATTAACGAAACAAGTAGAACATTTGTGCAAGGAGTGAGAGAAAGAACTGTATTGAATAATGAAGTTTAAAAAGGATAACGGACTGTCATGAATGGAAATGTTTTTCGTTTCATGCAAGGATTAGGAATTTTTTGTTTTCTTATCGGATAATCAGAGCTTACGAAGGAAAGATTTGTCCTTTTATACAAGGACAGGGATTAGGAATTATCTGTTCTTTTGTAGATAATCCGAGCTTGAAAGAAAACGTATTATTTTCTTTTATGTAAGGAAGCAGAATGAAGATTGTTTCGAACAGTGGACTGAAGAAGACACAGGGACTCTTTTGATCTAGGAAGTGGTTTAAATCCAGAACTTACAACATAAAAGAATCGGAAAAATAGAATAAAATAGTAAAAGTTGATGAAAAGAATAGGCGAATTCTTTCGTCTATACAGATTGTGTAATTCCATTGTAGACTGATTTTTTCAAGAGTATCCTCCCCTTATTGTTTCGAATTACACGTAAAATATCGTTACAGAAATAAATTACTTCATTTCTAACTGTCGTACTATACTTTTACCTTGAAGTCAACTATCTTTCTGTGGTGATACAGTTATTGAAAATTCATTATAACTATTTCTATTAGAACATAAAATAACATTTGGAAGTTCCTCTAAAAATACAATTTTCTTACTACCATTATGACAGAAAATATTGAAAGCTTTCCGTCGCGAATAGAGACCATTGATTAGCGAAAGAATCTATATCGACTTTAGACAGACATTATTAACGTTTAGGGGATCGTTATTAATTACCTGTCGGCCCGATAACATTCACGGGTCGTTGTTTACGTCGTCATGAATGCAGTCGAACGAAAACGCCCCGAACTTTCGTACGAACTACTCGGGAAAGTTTCGATAATGACCGTAGCGACAACTGTTCACCTTTATTCACCTGCCTCCTGGCTGCGAGCCAACCCGTGGAACTTTAATTAAACCTCTTGTTCATTTATCATATTTTCCAATATCCCGGGGCCCTCCTTCCCTCCCCAACCCAACCCCTCTCCATTCGCCTAATCCATTCAGCCAATTCATTTTCAACTCAATTTCCATTCAATTAACCTAATTCTTCGCTAAAACTGGAACCGCTAAATTTAAAAGTGTCGCTCAAAATGCCTCGCCTCGACGCCACCCTTAAAAATATCTCCTCGCGTTACTTTCGGGAAATCAATTCGAGAGCAAAGAAAAGAATAATGCACGACATTGGCAGAACTGATTCAAGCGACGACTCGACTGAAAATAATTCAGAAATTCACAATCTTCACAAGTGCACACACATGGCCGAGAAGTTTGAAATTCAATTTTCCGTAGGACAAAATCGCGCGCAGAGGCAGAAAATTTTATCTTAAACAAATTCATTTTTTACCCAGGTTATCGGTTGAATAACATTTGGTCGTAAATTCTGAAATTAACCTTAACGTTAATATACGATATGAAATTATTTTAAAGTCGCATCTCTGCCGATAAAAAAAAATACGTATCCCTTATTTTTGACTGCTTAACAGACATAAGAGGTTTCATCAACATCGGAGGGGGTCACTTCCGTGCCGTCTATCCTCTAACCAGTTCTCAACCTGGGGCCATATGGTCCACAGAAGGCCCCAGACTATTCCTGGTTTCCAATTATGGTATTGTATATAAACTATAAAAATTATAATAAAACACGTTCTATTTACAGAAACAAAATTTAAGGGAACACAAGAAGGAAGCAAGGTTGGAGAAAGTTTGAGAAACATTGCTCTATCGGTTTCGATCACCTAGTATCAATAAATTCTGAACTCACCCCATCCTAGGTCCACCCTGAGTCAGATCGAAGACCTGTCTCGGGTTCAGAAGCCACTGGAACTTCTGCAACAGCTTAGCGCCCTGATTCCCGCCTGATTTCGGATTGATGAACACCAGCACAGGTTTCACGGACGCGGTCGGTATCGGTTTCACCACCCACTGTTTATCCTGTTCCTTCTCTTGTTCCTTGTCCTTCTCCTTCTCCTTCGATTTCTTTCGACTCTCGCCGGACTTCTTCTTGCGGGGCGATTTTCTCAGGCTGCTCTTGAAGCTACCCTTTCGGGGCAGCTTCACGATCCACGCTGGCGGCACCACGATCGACGAGTGCACGCCCAGCTCGCAGTTCTCGCCGATCTTCTGCACGTTGAAGCACGCCTCTTTGTTGTGATAGGCGATCTTGCACCAGCTGCAGCTCACCGCGACGATCTCCTTCGAGGAGAAGCTCAGCTTCGATTGGAAGGACTTGCCGCAGTTCGTGCACTTCCCTTTCTGAGAACGACGATGGACCCAATGGTGCTGCGTGTTCGTCTGCTCCCGGTACTGACGGACCCCCACGTCACGGAAGCTCGGTTTACAGGCGAAATTCAGACTGTTCGCGCACAACGCGTGAGCCACCACGCGGCAAGCGGCGCATTTCATCCGGGGTCCGTGTTTCTGGAATTAGGTAATCGGTTCGTTTGTTAATTGGGTGTACTTCAGGCAGAGATTTAGCATGATTTTGCTTCGATGAACGATACGGAATATGACGCGAAGACTGCGGATTTTATATGGTTAAATTGTCTGATAAAATTTCTGATCTTAGCCATAAGGCTGAGAAGCGAGGTAGCCAAATGCCTCGTCATCTAATTAGTGACCTTATTACAATCTGTCGAAGGTTCCAGTAAGTCTTAAGTAAAACTGAGGACAACACACTCTGTTGGGGGTTCCATTAAGTCCCGAGCAACCTGAGAACCCGTCACTACCTTGATGTTTGCCATAAGGCCGAGAAGCGAGGTAACCAAATGGCTCGTCATCTAATTAGTGACCTCAATACAATCTGTCGAAGGTTCCAGTAAATCCCAAGTAAACTGACAACCTCGTTACACTCTGTCGAGGGTTTCGGTAAGTCCCAAGCAACCCGAGAACCCGTCACTACCTTGATCTTTGCAATAAGGCCAAATGTATAAATTAGTCTATGAAACCGTGTATCTGTATAATCACCAGTCTGAAACGATTTCAAATTCCCGGCAGATTAAACGTGGACCATTCACCTCGGATTAGTGCCCTCATTCGACCGTCCATTCATTCGTGAAACCCTCAATACCTCATTCGTCTCCCATAAGAGCACAGAGGATGGTGGTTCATGAATGCACATGTTCAGAGGAACAGCTTCCTATTTGCGTCTCACAGGTGTTCAATGAATAAAGAATTACACCGGCCCAGTACCGAAACGGTAAATGGTACGAGTGTTTCCGCGATCGGTTAAGTTTAGACACTGTTTGCGTGGTCGGCATTGTGCACCGACATTTCTACCGCCTAAAGATATCGTGGCAATTCATAATTTAACGGGGCAGCAGTTGCCGTCGCGGCTTAAAGTGAACGTCGGACGTTGAAACTGTATAATCGTGCAATTTTATGGCACTAGAAAATTACGCGACAATTTAGCTTATGCATGAAACGCACCGGGACAATGACAAATTGCGTGGAAAAAAAGGACTGTTAAGAGTTCTTGCTGTTTTAATGAAATGAGTCGCGGCAAGAGTTTCTATTCAATCCATATGCACGAAGATTAATTGTAATTACTTTCTAATTGTACAATTACCTGTACATCACCTGACATCTGCGATTTATCTATAAAGAGACAATCTTACTCTTTCGAAATTAAAATTTCTCGTCAGAGTGTAACACTCGGAGAAAGATATACAGAGACCAGCTTGAAGCAATTAAAGCGAAATACGTAGACAAATTACCAAATAACGAGCACATGGCTCTAAGAATTCATTAAAAAAAAATATCCGACGGGCATCCGTCAGAGAACCAGAACGAAAAGGGAAAAAGTGTCTCCGCGAAAAGACTGGAAAGATCCTATTAACCGCGGCGGTTGTTAAAAAAGTTCGTGGCTCGCGCGAAATCGGATTAACCAGCTTGCGAAAAAAAAAAAAGAACACGCTGCCGCCTCATTTGCGGTTTTAAACACACAGTCCATAAAAGAAAAAAACTGTACCATCAAACTAGAGCGGAGATCTCCCCTGGATATTCATATTTGCCTCGAATATAATATCCACAGATGAACTACATGTTAAGCGCGACAACTATACAGTATGCCCGGCTTACTAAATATAAAAAATTATATTTAGAGTTATTAAAGAGGTATATTAAAGAGTTTCAATATACATTACGGGCAAAAGACGCTAACCGAACTTGACAAATTATTATTCAAACAGAATTTTCAAATGTATCATTGAATTTGTCTTCTATTACGTTTACACCATAAAATCAAACAACTTTTATATGGAACATTTTTTCACAGTTTTAATAGTTAAAGAAATAATAGCGTGAATGCACTTAACACGGACATACTCTATACGCGAATACTATAACATAGAATTTCCGTTAGTCTGGAAAACGACGGCATCATTGATACACCCGGGATATTGTGTTACCGAACGAATTCGAAAGCCATTTATCTCAAACTGAATAGGCGTCTGGTCCTGTAACAAAATCCAGTGAGAATAGCCTGAAACTGATTTCACGCGAAACAGCTTTGTACCGTGGAAATAAAACGGTCGATAGAATTTGCGCGCGTGTGTGGTGGAAAAACGAATTACCAGGAAGAGAGGAAGCGAAAAAAAAAAAAAGGGACTAACATCGATGAGTTCTCGAAAATCGACGGGCACACGTGGAAAATTGCACGTAGCCACGCTCTCCACGGGTGTATCAAACGAATTTTCGAAGGCTTCATCGGTGCACCCATTGTCTATACGACGATCAAAGCGATAAACGGTCACCCAGGTCAAACAAGCTCGGTTTCGCTACCCCGACCGCTACGTATAGCGAATAGAGGGATAGAGCCAGAGACACAGGGGCAGCGCACGCTGTAAAATTGCGACGATTTCAGGGAGGAGAAAACGCGGTCGAGTAGAGAGAGGACCGAGGCGGGTTCTAGAGGGTCAAGGCTGGTCGACAGACCCTCGAGGAACCTCTTCTCCGCCTGTCGTTTCTGTTCCTCTCAAAGAAAAGCTTTTTTCCCTTCCGATATCGCCCCGACGCGGTTTATACTGGCCTACATGAGTCACCCGAAACGTGCCCGGATCGTTGCGGGAGGCGAACGATTTGCCGGAGAGGAAATAGGTCTCTCCTCAGCCGTCAAGGAACAACCTTTTTATCAGGGTTAACGATTCTCGACTTCTTTTTTTTTTTTTTTTAAATCAGGGGTATATGGATTTTGCGATTAATTCCTGTGCTATCGCTTAGATGAGGAGTACAGGTTTCAAATCCGTGGAATCTAGAGTTAATTGGTGAAGCTTCAGGTACTGGTAATTAGCAGAGGTACTGGTAAAATTGGAGGTTCGAACATTTCATGACACCTGATAAATAACCACAACAGACATCGGTTGGTATTATGGCCCTTTTAGGGGATCGCGAAGATCACCGAGATGGTTCAAGCATCACGAGAAAGGACCGAGTTGTGTGTAATGGCTCTCGAGGTCCATTGACGTTCCTTCAGTCGTCTGAAGGACTTCCAAGACCTTTCCAGTAAACCCACGGACCGCTGAGGTACTACAGGATTCAGTCGAGATCTTCGATGTCCTTGTAATGGCACTCATAGAATACCACGGCTGTCAGAAATCTCAAAGGGTCACCGAAGTCCTACAATAGTTCTTCAAGGACTAGGAGAAAGGACTTGAAGGAATGGTTCTTCAAGAGCTAACCGAGGTCCAACAGGGTCCACCATGGTGTAGGGACCTAAGACGGTTGAGATCTACGGAAAAATTGACCGAGGACAACGAGAATTGGGGGCTAGAGACGAAAGTGGTCGAGGAATAGTCCAAGTGGCCAATGGGGTTAGCTATTCGGAAGCCAAAGTCGTGAAAGTACCGACGGTGTGTGGGAGGTTAAAGGCGAAAATCGTCAAAATGGCCGTGGGGGTAGTGGCTGAAATAGCCTAAGGGACGGAAGTGGCCAAGGGGACCGAAGAAAATCATCATGGAGGCAGGAAGACGAACGGAATGGCCAGAGAGATTGGGGGATGCTGGCCGAGAGGATGGTCAGGGGAGCTCCAGGGAAACCAAAGATCTTTCCAATCTGAAAAAAACTACTATTTAGACCATTCCAGTGCAAACAAACTGCTATCCCTGTTATACTTCTCTCGATAATAGCTTCCAAGTGATGTTGCTTTATTTGTAATCACGCTATCACGAGAAACAGGACAGTATTTAATCATTCTGGAGAGTGACTTCAACGAAAGGGGTTTGATTTAGAATATTCTACACGTTAAATTGTACCTACAAATACAATTGCTTAACAAAAAAAACCACAATCCAAATTTCGGAAAACATAGTCAATATAGAAATCGCCGAAGTACATTCGTCCTCTTTGGTAAGCAAATTAAAAGACGAAAATACTAAAAAATAAAAAATTCTGAATCGTTGCAACAAACAACATCACCGTACACCCCAGCACACGAAACCCGTAAGGCACGATCGGCTAATTTTAATCGTAACTTCATTCGACGACCCATCGAAAAGGGACCTAACGAAAGGGGATCCCTTTGTTCTATGAATAGATTGAACCGCATCAAGCCGCATTCCAGGGGATTAAAAAGCTTCACGGTAGTCCCATGCATTTCACCAAACGCTCTATTTCACGTAAAAACAGAGAGAAATAAAGATAGAGAGAAGCGATGTGTCGTCGATGCGACGAACGAAAGTTCCGTCGCGGGACAACCCGAGTCAATTCAACCCAGTAATCACTAAATCAATACTTTTAATTGCGTGCACACGGCTCGTCGGCTCGGTCGCTCGTGAATCGAGCAACCTTTCAAATTTAATCGCGTGCCGTCTCGCCGGTTCCGCAGAACCGCCATTGAACCGCGCCGCCACCGCCACAAGACACACGGGGGCTAAATGGGAATTACTTTGCAAATTTGCTCATCACCGGAGACGAAAGTGCGGGGCACTGCGTCGCCTCGATCAATCATTGTAATAACGTCGACCGTGTACATCCGCGTTACCAGACTGATTCGAACTTCTTCGCGCTCGTTGGTCGTGTCTAGGCGGTGCGGTCTGTGAACAAACTCCTTCAAACATATTCGATCGAAACACGTGACGAGAAATTTAAACAGTTTTGGCCTAGTTTTGATCGTAACGAGGCGTACGAGCTAAACGTCGATTTAAAATACAGTCTGGTGGCATATCAATAGTGACGGGTCTGTGAACAAACTGCTTCAAACATTTTCAATCGACATATTTGACAAGGAGTTTAAACAGTCCAGGCAAAGTTTTATAGTGGTGAAGCGTTCGAACTAAAAGGCGATTTCGAACACAGTCTGATGACGTTCCAGCAGTGGTGAATCTGTGAACAAACTGTTTCAAACATGTTCGTAGAAAAATCTGACGAGGAGTTTAAACAGTTCAAGTCGAGTTTGATTGTAACGACGAGTTTGACTGAAAGTC